AGGGACACAGCAGAAGCAGACCTGTGCGAATGCCCACATCTCTTCACCTCCCAGTTTCTGAACCTGTATACTTGGGTGTCTCTCAGAAAAAAAACAACAGAGCCCATTCCCTGTTCCCTTGTCCAACTCAAGGGTGTTCTTGCAACAAGGCTTCCTCTTGTATCTCTAAATCTTCTTTCAACACCTTATGCCAGCATATTGTCATTGTTTGTGTTATCATTTTAAAACCCTATTTATTGTGAATAGTGTCACATAGTGGGCTTGAAGTAATAGGATCACTGCCTTGTATCATGCTTTAATAAATATGCTGCAAACCTAGGAGCCAGGCTTAGCTGCTTGGAGGGAGCCCAGGATGGTCCTCAAGCCAGTGAAGAGCAGACACATCCTCTCATCCCTTCTCTTTCTGTCCCTGTAGCCATTTGGGCCCTGTTCAATCATGCTGTTCCATCTCTTTCTAATACTTCCCTGTGTTCTCACTGAACAGCCAGCCTTGGTTTTTCAAGCCTGTTCTCAGAGCACAGTCATTGGGAAGCCCATGCAGGACAAAATGGGAGAGGACTGTTCAATCCCTCTACCGGAAAACCCTCTGGTCCTCCCTCAGCTACGTAGAATCAGGGCTCCAGGAACAAGGATGTCTGTTGAGAAGCATATACAGGAGGGGTATTTCATAAAGGCATTTTTCTGCAAAGACTTGGTCAGAGTCAAGACTGGAGGAGTGTCTCCCTTGACTAGCTAATGCATGAGAGCTAGCAGGCAGGTCAGAAATGGGGTAATGATCTTGGTGACACTTGCACCAAAAAGCAGTTAGTCCAACTATATAGGCCTTGGCTCTCAGTCCAGTCACCTCCCGCCCCACACCATCTGTGCCCTGAAACTACTGATCTGTGGCATTCATGGTTTTTGTGACCAAGGTCATTGTCAAAACCTGCAGACCATCCTCAGGCCCAGTGGTACTTACAGCCTCACAGCCTCCCTGGTCCATCACATTCTCTCTTGTGCCTTCATCATTACCAATCTAGGGTAATGTCTAGGGCAAAGTTTCTTGAACCTTAAATTTTTGCCTATGATATTGTCACAGACAATGATACACAAATCAAACATTTACTTTTAATAAGCCATTGAAATTTTTATTTTATTTTTTTAAATATTTATTTATTAATTATGTGTATAGCATTCTGCATCTATGTATGCCTGCACACCAGAAGAAGGCACCAGATCTCATTATAGATGGCTGTGAACCACCATGTGGGTGCCGGGAATTGAACTCAGGACCTCTGGAAGAGCAGTCAGTGCTCTTAACTTCTGAGCCAGCTCTCCAGCCCGAAATTTTTATTTTAAAACAATTCATATATATATATATATATATACATATATATATATCTTTACCATTGTTAAAGTTGAAAGATAATTTTCATACTAATGAGATGGGTGTGCTTATTTTATAAAGAATTGAATCCTGACTTGGTAATCTTCAGTGTTGAGAATGGCAGAAGTATATTTAAGGCCATTTCTGAAATTGTTGGAAATTCTGTTCTAGTCCTAAGCCAAAATCTACTTAACTGCTTTTGTTTGTTTGTTTTATAAAATCCAAAGTCAGCAACTCATGCAGCAATTTTTACTTTTATTTATTTGAGACAGGGTCTCAATTCTGTAGCTCTCATTGTCCTGGAACTCTCTATGTAGATCAGGTTGATCTGGAATTCACAGAGGTCTGCCTGTCTTTGCCTCCCCTTAATTGCTGATTAAAGGGGTGTACCACCATACCTGGCAAGAATTCAAATACTCTAATGCAACACAATCCAAAGACATACTAATTTGATACTTACAGGTTAAGGAATGACAACAGAAAAAATATTTAAAGAAGTACTTGTTTTCTGTAATTAAACAATTATATTTCTATAAGAGCAAAAAATGTATGTACAGTGTCAACAGTGTAATTCATAATGTACTTGCCTCAAATCTGAAGAGAAGTGTTTTGGGTAGTGTTTGGTGGTGCTGCCTGGTCTGATGGCATGTACAGGGCAAAGTGTACACTTAGTGTGTTCAGAAGCAAAAAAAAAAACCAAAAACCAAAAACCAAAAAACACAGTGAAGTCACATGATGCAACGTGGTGAGATGCTACTAGAAGCTCCTCAGCTCCCTCATGCATTGACTTCAAATTAATCTTTGATCATTGCTTGTTCAGAGGCCTTTTACTGTTTCCAAATTTTGTATAGATTTATTTACTTTATGTGTGTATGAATATTCTGCCAGCATGTCTATACATGTACCACACGTGTGCCTGGTGCCCTTGGAGTTCAGAAGAGGGCATTTGAACCCCTGGAACTGGAGTTAGGATGGTTGTGAGTCACCCTGTGGATTCTGAGAGCCAAACCTGGCTCCTCTGAAAGAGCAACGAATGCTCGC